GCGAGTGTCATATTCGTGTTCAGCGGGTCAAAGTACCCTTGGGCACGAGTTTTGGTACCAAATCTTGAACATTTGCGACTGGCACTTCGGAGAACGTGTGAAGCCATCACTGGCGTGCGGTCAATTCATGGCCACAGCCTATTCAACTACAGGAGACATTCTTCTGTACAAGGCTCATCTTACCGTTTCTGAAGCATTCATTCCTGCCTACTGGCTCCCAGTCTTCCTGATATGTTGAAAGCAAATTCGTCACGAAGCAGTCTGGTAAGAGACTGGCCTAGAGAACTACTGGTGGCCATCTTCGACCAAGTTGCTGCTGCCTTTTTCACAGGTTAGGTCAAGACCATTACATTTGGGATAGAGAACTGGTCTACAGAGGTGGTCGTTTTTGCTCCCTAAACACGAACTATGACACCCATATTGGCGTTTGGTTGTTTCCGTAGACTCGAAAAAGAGCATTCCCAAAACAGTGCAAAAAAGTTGCTCCTCCTCAAACCCGGGGACCTCTGTACCACGTCGTCTGATGGAGCAGTATTTCACCCTACACCATGGTCCTCCGATCAGATTTGTACTTTGCTGTAATTCAATACAAAATGGGCTGGGCACCGCGTTTGCTTCCATGTCTCTTCATTCTAAGAAACCTTCGCAACTTTGTTCGAAGAATCGTTCTGCAAATTTCGAAGACAGATTTGAAATCAGCGTTCGAAAACGGGTATGTGGCAAGAGAATCGTAACTCACCGCGCCAGTAGCGTCGCGTGCGACGTCGCGCCCGCTAATGACGACGTTTCAGGAGGTAATCATCGAGCATAGACAATGTATGACAAACAGACATATGTGTCTTACCATGTCCTTGTCTCACGTTCAATCTGCATTGCTCCATCGAAAGGGTTGATGCACAATTGAAGGAAACGTTCGCGCCCATTTTGCGCGCACGCGACGAAGCGGCAATTTGAACGATCTCTTGGCCACTTTCTTCGAAACACGTCCGCTGATATACGCCTGTCGTTACAAACGGCCACGCTGGACCTAGCATCTTCCCTACTCAGAATCTTTTCTTGAAGGGCATGCTATCAACGTTTTGCGGTCACTGTCTTCAACAGTAACTCTCGACCAATGTCAACTGTTGTTACAATACCGTACTACTCGAAACAGGTCATGGTGATGAACGCGACAGGTGATCGACTAGCTGCTGCAGATGGATGGCAACGGCTTGTCTGGAGATTGCAACAAGTTACCAGTTGCAATGAACATTAAAAGCAAACAAACTTGAATCAATCAAATTCTGCTAGCACGATTTATCTGTGAACCTGTCGTGAATGGTTGAGAAGTTCTGCTTCCGATTTTCCGAAGTTTGCCGGCACTGCTTTATTTCACTCTCCTACTATTGTTTCACAGTACTGGTTGGCAATTACTCGTGGGGACTCTTCGATATCTACCTTCCGGATCGATATCCACTGGTTTTGGATAAAGCACATTTCCGATTTCCGACATTCGCTAGTAAACTTGTGCTCATCGCTGCTGTGAAATCCAGTCATATTAAGGAAACATTTCCCCTAACAAGATCCCTTAAATGATCTTGAATTTCAGTTGGTGAAAACCTTCCAAGTGGATTCACTGAATAACAACGGTCGCGCTCCATATGAGCTCTTGCTACCTGTTCAAGTTGGACCAGTTGGCTATGCCACGTATATCGTCGACAACTCAACGTCAAAGTGAGTAGTTCAGATTATTATAAAACTAAAGGCAGTAACTCAATTCTACTAGAGGAGTAAAAGACATGTTCATTACTATCTGGTAGGTACAGTCGTTTTTTCTACAGACGTGGGGTCTTGTCAGAGGGAGGGTCGGGTTTGACGCAACATCAGCCCGTTCTCCCACAATAGCTGAAGAGGCAAGCGACAACGACAAATGGTTGGAAACGGGCTGCGCCAAACGGCAACTTCCCGTCCCCCTCCCCTTGACACGCCCAGAGTCTGCATCGAAAACGACTACGGAATCCCCAAACGCTTTGACACGTTGATAATGTCTGCAGCCGCACATAGTGAATTATGTCTCTCGAAACAGAGTAATAAGAACGCCAGAGGTGTGAGATTCGAGTCTGACCGTGGCTTTTTCAATCTTTCCATTCACCCGTTATCCTACATAGACATTGCCTCCATTGCTTGTACAACTGTGTACTTTCTGAGAGATGGGCAAGAGAATCGTAAATTGCCGCTTCGTCGCGCGCGGCAATGGGCGCGACGTTTCCTTAATTTGCACTACCTTTCGATTGGAGCATCGGATTTCATGTAGACAAGGACATGGTAGACACTTATGTCTATTTTTGGTCATACATTGTCTGTTCTCGACCAATACCACCCATTATTGTCGTCATTGGTCGACGCCGCGCCGCGCCGACGCCCTCTGGCGCGGCGAGTTTCGATTCTTTTGCCACATACCCGTGCTTTCTCACGCGCGTCTCCGTCTCTCGTAATTGCACGCTGTACAGCTCTGAGTAGCGGGCCTCATGTGAAGAGTTTTCTATGGGTGCTTTAGCTGCCTCCTTCACTGTTCGCTCAATTAGCTCCTTTGAATTCGCTTTTGAGTTCCACTTCTCACGGCTCGTAGTCGTGGAGTGTTCTTTTTTGGTCAAGACGCTCTCCACTATCCCACCCCTCGCCACCCTTTCTCTTTTCCTCCGGTCCTTCCCATTAGTACTCCAGATTGGAAGAGCATCTCTTCACATGTATGGAAAGGATGTATAGTCACAGTGGGTCTAAAAGAGAGAACGGGTTGACGATGTGACATTTGGAAACTCATAGCATCACTATGCTCCTAACACATTGCGGACCTTCGTACTGCGCGCATCTCTTTATCACTTCACCATTTTTCACCGATATTTCGTAGATAAGATGTCCCGCAAATTTTTCGATTGCTCATAGAGATATGTATCTTGCTTTAAAGGGAGACGGGTTTTGATTTTCTATCTGAACAGAGAGAAAAAGCCAACTCAACCGAATAAAAACACGGACAGTTGGAACAATTTATGCACACTATGTGTGTCACGCGTCCGTGATAAAGGGTGGGACAAGATGCCACTGGTTAGGCTACATCAGCATTCAAGTGCCATCAGCAATCATTAATTTGAGATGAAGGGGTGGCGCCATTCCTGCAAAGGATATTGATGGTGACCGACAGTCTGCACCTCTGCACTCTATAAGCAATAAGGTGATTTTCATAGTGGTTTTCTAGTATCTGAGAAGGCAGGGATAGCAGCAAGTTCTGTTGCCGATTGGTCGAATTCGCGACGCCAGTGCATGCGTTTCAGTTTTTTCGCTGCCGGATGATGGTGGCCCAGGCCCGTTCAGGGAGGGTTAATTTGGCCGCGTCGCGACACGTTCTCCATCACTTGTTGAAGCGGGTAAGTGGTAACAATTGATTGAAAATGTATGATACGAGCGATGTGATACAGTTTCGTCACTTGCCAAGGGAAAAGAGAAGAAAAGGGTTGGCGTCGCTCCAATCCTATTCTCCCTGACCAATCCCATCATCCGCAGCTAGTAAGACTGTAGCTGTGATGGTTTCAGGGGGTTTCAGTAGAAAGGCTGCCCGTCGGAAAGCGTAAAAGTAAGCATAGAGTTTTACCTATACCATTGTGACCTACATAATGCGTCTCCTCTGGGTAGGTTTTGGGAAGCTCTAAATCTTGAAGTATCAGCTTCAGTTGTGCAATAGCCATACCATTAGGTCTGTATGAATATAATGGCAACTATAAAAGAATTTAGCTCGTCAAATTAGCCGCTTACGCTATCTATTTTACAGCTTTGTGACCGGTTTCATGCAGTCTTATTCGCTGCAGACGTGAGGCGCGTCAGGGGGATGAGTTTAAAGCCGCTTCTGCCGTTTTCACCGAGCTGGCTCGGTGTCAGCAGCGAACAAGGCTGTGGGACCAAGCTGTTTTTGTTTTCAGACGGGCCATCACTCCATTGCTGTCTACGAAGATGACTGCGGGAAAACGAGCTGAACCGTCGGTGTCCATTGAGAACGACGGTACGCGTAGAGATTTGGATCTCTTTTAACTTGTTTAGTTACTGTAGTTTCATAGCTTTCTCAACTTGCCATAAAAATTTGTACAGGGGGTGGGCAAAAAAAGTCACTTTCTTTCATTAGACTTTACCGAGGCGACTATAAGTGTACACTTTATCAAACTCCTGATCGGACATTTGTTTTACCACCTCTGTCGGGGTGGCGGTGGCGGGAATTTCTGACCCTCTAGCCCAACACCGCAATTGTTGGCAGCGAATGCGCCTGGCGTTCGCGCCGGTATCACATGCCAGTTTCGGTGCCGGCGCACCTAGTAGAAGTATCAAGCATTTTAGCGGCAAACAAGTGGGATATACATGTCTACCGGGCAAAAATTCGCTCTGGGGACATGTTTTGAGCACGTTTGTTGTGGAAACGTGTTCTGGTGCTGGCGCCTTTTGGCGCAACCGCCAGGTGGTTTTGATTCAGGCGGGTGTGGCAGTCGTGCTCGGGGGGTCAAACTACCTGGAAAGGGCAGAAATCTCGGCAAATCTATTTTGGGAAAACTTTCGGTCAAAATTTGGCCCGGAAGTCAAAATGCAGTGCAATAAAGGGTAAACAATGTCAAGTTATCAATGGTTTCTACAAAAATTATTTCCCTGCCATTAATCAGTTTTTATGAAATATATGGGGAATAATATCGGAAAAATGTCTGAAATTGGGAGGGTGAAGCATGTTCAAAGGTTGGAAACTGTTGATACTATGGCCAAAATTTTTTTTCGCGCGCCCCGTCTCATTTAGCTCTGCTATCTTGTGAGTAAATGCGACCTATACTCTCAGAAATAGGGTTTTAGGGGTTTTATAAAGGGTAGTACAAAACAAGGAAGTCGTGTGCAGTCAGCAAAACATTTTCCAAATAATCCATGGATTTCAGGGTATTTCCCTGTCTTTCGATAGCAACGGCCTGGTATCGTCGATCAAGGACAAAGCGACAAATATGACTCATTCGTTCCGTCAGCAGTTCTTCTATTACAAAGGTACATATGTAAATGTACTGGGCTGTACAAAGGCCTCAGTACCCCCCAGCGAAAGTAGTATTGGCAGTACTTATGAAGTTTTCAGGTATGATGAACGATTCACAACCATCAGGTGCTTACATTTTCCGCCCTAATGGAACTCCTATTGAAGTGGGAAAAGCTCAACTAGAAGTGCTAAAGGTTGGCATCTATCACACGAACATGAGGTCACTGCAGGAATTAGTACGGAATTGATTTCAGGTCAGTCTCCGTACAAGAGAGTCCGGTCAGACGTTCCAACTCGTGGATTTTTCGCAGATTAAAGGCTGCAGAGAAGGGGTGTCCAAACACATCGAACTTCGACATGGGATTTATTTTGGTCCCGGCATTCCCAGGATGGCAAAGTATGAGCCGTGGCTAGCGTGAATTCTCATCAAGCCCTTCTCCCACAGCATAATACTTTTATAGGGATAGTATTTTGGAATTTTTCGGAAGCTTTTGGACGGAAAATATGAAGTATGATGCTTTCTCATTAATCAAAAATTTTTATGGGGTGCGACATGCATTTTGCTTCATTCAGGGTTGAGGTTGTATTTGAAGGCCATATGGCCCATAACAATTACTTACGGGAATCAGCCGATGGACGAGGGCCGTTAAAAGTTTTCTCAGTATCGGGGTAATTCAGATGAAGCAATTCAAATCATTTCAGCAGGGTACGACACTCCCTGAGGGTACAATACAAAATTTCATTTAGTTATCATCAATGCTATTTTATCCTTGGTGAAAGAAGACCAGAATGACTGATGCGACAATGTTGAGAAAATGATTACTGATTTAAAAAATTGAGAAAAATGAAAAGAAAATTGAGAAAATGATTAGTGATTACTTCTTGTTCTCCAGCCTAAAAAAGTCTTCGTGGAAAGCGTTTTTCTGACGATGAAGAGCTGAAGGCGGCAATTAACGCACATTTTGGGGACAAGGGAGAAAATATTTTTAGAGGGTATTGAAAAGTTAGTTTCCCGAGCAAACAAGTGTATTGAGGTTATGGGGACTACATAAAAAATAAATTTTATTCAGAATTTTCTGCCTTTTTCCTTCATGCCTATACTGAGAATACATTGAACATCCCTCGTATCAGTCAGTGATTTTATCCTCCCATATGGACAGGGTACCGATTCAGGAGGATAGGAGGTTTGATTGGCTTGAGTGGTTCGGAGTCGGTCCGGAATTTGTCCACCAGATCACGCATGGTAAGAGAACCTTCTGCCACAACCCCACATTTGGTTTTGGTTCATATTACCTCGGCCGCGAATGGTTGCGCCCGGGCCGGGCGATCGATACTCGCATTAAGTGTTACAAATCTCATGGTTTTCATTTTTCCCATGTATTACTTGAATGCTCACATTTTTCCTGTTTACTTATTCATTTAGTTATTTACTCACGTATTTATTTCTTCATTCATTTATTTATCTCTGGTCCCACTGAAGATGAAGTAGTGGCAAGTGATCTGCTTACCACCCTCGCCGTCCGAGAGTCAAATTCCCTGGTCGGCTTTCAGGCCAACCAACATTTCCATATTTGACGAACCTGCCAATTGGTATCATTCGTCTCGGAAGGGGGGGGGGGAGGAGATAAACTACTGCACTTTACGTCGTCGCTATCGGAAATGGGTTAGATCTTACCCACAGTGTCACTACGAATTTGAATGGATTAACCAAGGAAAGTGGTGCACCATGAAAACGCAAGCCTTAGCCTCCTTTATCTGTAGTCAAATTCGTAGAAAATGGGCTAAATATCCAACGGAGTGCTGAACTATTAGGCTGAGTCTGAGCAAGTATAAATAGCACTCTCTAGATCTTCTGGGACTCTCACATAATATTTACCTAATTTTTTTTTACCAAACATTTCTGGGGCAAGAGGCTACGGTAGTGGATAAAATTTCCAGAAAGCACTTTAGTGTTGTAATTCCCTCTACGATGGCTTCATGTCGGTATTCATCTATTAGTAACGTTACGACTTGGCCATTCATTCAAGAGTTTAATTATTGATTATTCATTATAGCATCTGTTAGCCAATGTGCATGGCCTCTATTAACGATATCACATTCAGAAATCCAATAACAAAAGAAGTCATTACACGTTACACTACTGATATCAAGAATGCCGACGTCTTCTATACGGATTCC